ACTGTCCAGTCGTGAGGGCACGCTAAACGTTCGGACAAAATTCTGCCATACAACTGGAATTGCACAATCGGGTGGTGGGGGTCAGTGTCAGCACAACAAGCTATTCTTAGTGCGGGCTCTGATTCCTCAAAATGCGCCCATTCAACCATTCGGACTAAATTTGTAAAAAAGGATGTTAAGAAGCTTGTCTCCGATTCCTTGACCATAAACTTTTTTGTGTTTGTTTTTTAGGTGCATTAATCATATAAATTTATGGCGTTACATTTATTACCACAATAAGTTAATAATTTTCCAGTTAGGTAGCCTTATTCGCTAAGCTATCTTCTTACAAATGGGTGTATTTGCCAGGGACAATACAAGAGCATCCATCAAATGACTGCCACGCTGAATCAAGTTTCCTGGAATATGCAATGAGGAGGATCTTTCAATTGAAACCTGAGAGTCACCATTACGCGTCGCTATTGTCTAGATTGCGTAACGCACAGCGTAATCGTTCCCTGTCCATAGCGATCTGCGCGACCACCTGCGCTGCCGCCCGTTCTCGCGAACATTCATCAATCGCCATTAGACTGTCGTTGAGAGTTTCGGAGCTTCATTGTCCTTAGGAATGTGAATTGTGAAGAACCCCTAGAGGTTTCCCAGGGGAACCGCGGCTACGGCCATAGGTCAGTTACTGCTCGTGATGAAGTCATTATCTATCTCTTGATTATCAATCATAAGGAACAATCACAGATGTAATTGTTGAGGATTCCAAGACGTAACTGGAACGTGCATATAACTGGTCAAACTGGAGTCGACTTCGAGTATTCAATAGAATCAGTTGAGTAATGATGACGGATTCATATAATCTATCAGAAGTTCATTTGGGTGTGTGAGACTTATAGAGTGCTGACGCTATAATTTGCTGTCCGTTAGCGCTTGGTTAGTGCCTTGTGATGTGAACTGTGATACGGAAGTGTGAAGTTCACACAAGGGCGAGAAATTGCGCGAGATCAACTTCAGAAAATCAAGTCGGATTGTTGGGGAGGCAAAAATACAGTGGTTTTTGGGAGACGATTTGTGTCGGGCGGATTGATTTCTCATTTGCTTATCACAAGCTATTTCGGCTTTAACGTATTTAGCAGTGGAAATAAGAATGGCTCCAAGATCAGGGAAGAATAAGACGGGGAAAGTGGAAACAGGGCAGTTTGACCCCCGGCTGATAACGGAATTCGACGGATCAACTGATGTGATGGAATGGCTTTCACGGGCAGAACTGATATGTTCACATCGAGGTGTGGACGCCATCGAGGTGATACCTCTACGTCTTACTGGCGGTGCCTTCGCGGTGTGGTCCCAGCTCTCCCCCGATGCTAGAGAATCATTACCGGCCGTGAAGGCCGCCTTACAAGCCGCGTTTGCGCTCGACGAAAGCGCTGCGTACGATGCGTTCGTGACAAGGCGGCTGCAGCTTGGGGAGTCCGCGGATGTTTACCTCGCTGCTCTTCGACGGCTGGCAGATCGCTTTGGAGGCGTGCCGGAACGGGCTCTGAAGTGCGCCTTTCTCGCCGGTCTTCCCGAGTCCGTACGGAGGACACTGCGAGCCAGCTCCATCGCCGATGGTTTGGGGATCACGGATATACTTGCAAGGGCTCGTTCCGTGATGGGAGACGAGCGGCTGGTGATGGCGACAACATCGACCAGAGGACGGCCTCAGAGCTCCCGCCAAAGACGCCAGTTGTCGGCGGCAGATGCGGAAACGCAGAGGCCGTCTCGCGGTGCAGTGGAGCCGCGCCGTTGCTGGGTGTGTGGCGAACCGACACATCTGGCTGCCCGCTGTCCACACCGCGCGGCGGCGGGAAACGCGCTGGGAGGTGGCGCGTCAGCGCAGGCGTCGTCTCCCGCGCAGTAAGCTGTGGTGCGCTGCCGGTCACCGACATCATCGTGAATGGCAGGAGATGTCGGGCGTTAGTTGATAGCGGTTGCACTGAGACGCTGGTGCATGAATCGGTTTGTCGGGAATGGGAGCGGCAGCGCACTGCTGTTACCACACTGAGCGGCGACCCGGTGTACTGCGCCGGCGTTGCAACCATTGAGCTGAGGACGGTGTCTGGCCAGTCGGCAAGAGTCGAGGCACTGGTGTTGGAAGACAGGCCAATGGGAGTTGACTTGATTCTCGGTGTTCCCGGGATCTCAGCGCTTGGTGGTGTTACAATCGGATCCCCGTCCGACGTGCGATTTTGTGGGATGGCGATGGCGTGTCAGGCCGTTCCCACGGTGAATACGTCCGACTTCACTGTGCAGTTTGATACTGAGAAGAAGACGTGGACAATGGCTTGGAAATGGCGAGACGGAGCTGAGCCAACACACCTCAACAACAATGTGCCAGGGTACGCCGTGCCTGAGGAGAGCCGAAGCGAGTATGAGGAAGAATTGAAGGTGTGGATTGAGAACGGCTGGCTCACACCGTATGAAGAAGACGTTCACGGACCACCGCGCGGACTGATTCCACTGATGGCTGTGATACAAGGCAACAAGTCGAAGGTCAGGCCAGTCATGGACTACCGTGAGCTTAACAGTTACGTGCCCGCTCACACCTCCGATGCAGACGTTTGTGCGGACACGCTAAGGAGGTGGCGCCGACACGGACAAAACCTGGCCGTGGTGGACCTAAAGCGGGCATATCTACAACTGAGGACGGATCCGAGCCTCTGGCCCTTCCAGACCGTGATGGTTGACGGGACACGGTATGCTTTGACCAGGGTCGGGTTCGGTCTCAATATCGCGCCGCTAGTTATGAAGGCGGTGGTGCGTGCGGTCCTGTGCCAAGACGCAGATATACAGCGTGCGACGATCCCGTACGTGGATGACCTCTGCGTGAACGAAGATATCGTCAGCGCAGACCGAGTGGTGGAACACTTCGCAGCTTACGGCCTGGAGTGTAAGCCACCAGAGCGCGCTGCAGATGGAGCTCGAATGCTTGGTTTGCGCGTCAGGGCTGTGGCAGGAGCGCTGCAGTGGAAAAGAGACAACGAGGTCGGCGAGCCACCTGAAGTTGTCACTCGGCGATCGGTCTTCTCGTGGTGCGGCCGATTGGTGGCACACCTGCCCGTGTGTGGGTGGCTGAGACCAGCGGCTGCATGGCTAAAGCGCCGCGCCAACGCGGTGACGAGTGGCTGGGATGACGTCACAAGGGACCCGATGCTGCTGGATCAGCTCCAGTATGTAGCGGAGCGGCTGGTCAGTGATGACCCTGCGCGCGGTCGCTGGAGCGTTCAGGGCGAGAGCGCTGTGATTTGGACTGACGCCAGTTCTGTCGCTGCCGGAGTCGTCCTCGAGACACCAGACGGGCACACCATCGAGGACGCCTGCTGGCTGCGGCGGGACGAGACAGCTCATATCAACATGGCTGAACTCGACGCAGCCTTGCGAGGTCTCAACTTGGCAGTAGCTTGGAACATGAACAAGGTCGAACTGAAGACAGATTCGTCAACGGTTTACCGCTGGATCAGTGACGCTCTCAATGGTCGCGCACGGCTCCGGACTAAAGCCCAAGGAGAGATGCTGATCCGACGCCGGGTAGATACCATCCGGCAGATCGTGGAAGAATTGCACATCGAACTCACAGTAACGCTGGTGCGGTCGGCAGAGAACAAGGCGGACTGCATCAGCCGAGTGCCCGCTGCGTGGCTGCGGGAGCCGGACAGTTCACCGGAGCCCGTCTGCGCGGCAGCCGGGGCAGACGGTGTAACGGGAGTGAGCACAGGTTCCGAGGCCAGTGGCGCAGATGGCGGCGAGGCGACGAGCCTACACTCGGCTATCAGAGACGTGCACGCTCGAGCCGGTCACCCAGGGATAAGGCGCACGCTATATTTCTCGCGCCGTGATGTTTCTCCGACAGTGACCCGGAAGGACGCGCGTGCGGTGGTCACACAGTGTGATGTGTGCAGATCCATTGACCCGGCGCCGGTGAAGTGGCGACACGGCGTACTCAGTGTCAAGGAGACATGGTCCCGTCTGGCCATTGACATCACTCATTTCCGAGGTCAGCTCTATCTCACAGCTGTTGACTGTGGACCGTCTCGGTTCAGTCTGTGGCGGCGGCTGCGGCGGGCTGACACCGCACACGTGACTGAGGAGCTGGATCAAATCTTCAGCGAGCGCGGAGCCGTCGAAGAAGTCCTGGCAGACAACGACACGGCTTTTCGAAGTCGAGAGTTTTCAGCCTTCATGTCCAGCTGGGGAGTGCGGCTGCGCTTTCGCGCGGTCCATCAACCGAGTGGCAATGGGATAGTTGAACGTAATCACCGGTCGGTAAAAGTGATTATGGCAAGAAAACAGTGTTCTGTCACAGAAGCTGTGCATTTATATAATGTGACACCACAAGACGGGGAACGAGCTGAAACATCTCCCGCCGCCCAGGTCTACAAGTACAGGGTGCGGGACAGAGTGCTGGCCGGCGCCACTGACGGCAGGAACGAGGCGCCACCGACAGCACGTGCGGAAGATGCAGAAGATGGCGGGTATAGGATAGGCGACGAAGTCTGGATGAGGGTCCCAAAAACGCGATGTGGGGAGCAGTCTCGGCGAGGGGTGGTAACTGGTTTTATATCGCCTCAGGTGATGGAGGTAGATGGTGCCCCGTGGCACGTCCGTGACCTCAGACATCGCCAAGAGGTGTAATGTGATCTTGAGGATCAGGGGGGGATGTGATGTGAACTGTGATACGGAAGTGTGAAGTTCACACAAGGGCGAGAAATTGCGCGAGATCAACTTCAGAAAATCAAGTCGGATTGTTGGGGAGGCAAAAATACAGTGGTTTTTGGGAGACGATTTGTGTCGGGCGGATTGATTTCTCATTTGCTTATCACATGCCTTTATTTCAGTATTTGTACCATTTATCGGATCTTGGGACACTTAAAATCGGCTTCAATAGCTATAAAAATAACCAATTACCTAAGTTTGTTGTTTCTACGGGAGATTAATGCAAGTGTAACTAATATGAAAAGCAGTGTACTTACTATACATCTGCAGCTGTCCAAAATTTCCACCCCCGTTCGGGCTCCATCCAGGGTCACCGAATGGGTGTACCGCATATCTGAAATAGACGGAAGATTTGATCACACTGGGCCGAGGACACGCTGCTGGTAGACGCAAAGTTGATAATTGTGGGAAAACATTTTCCTACACATGACAAACGTGAAACATTCGTACTTATATAAACATTACCATATGTAACGAGTAACGACCATCACAGTACAACAAAGACTAGCAATGCCGAGGAACTCAACACTCATGAAACATTCATGCCGTCTTTGTGAACAGTTAGCCCTGACCATCAGGGTCCTTGTCCTGCTGCGTAAATGCTCACACACATGCAAATCGTGCATCGTCTCACAGCTAAACGAGTCTGTTGTTCACGGACATGAATATTTAGCTGGCGTGTTGTCAAACTCACCTCCGCTGGAGCTGTATTCACCGATGTATCGTTTCGTCAGGTACCGCACGCATAAAGCTGAAAACAGAAATGACCAGCTCAGCAAGAGACATAACAGATTAGCGATTTTCACAGCAGTCAGTGGACAGGAGCTACAGAGCCGCCCTAAGCTAGGTATTATCGGTAACGGGACGTTCACATGGCGCACAAGCACGTTTCTGTGGTATTGTCGTCTCGCATAAAGTCAAACTTCGAACGGGAACCCATATTGACTGTTCCATGTTTCTAATTGAAACCCAAATTTCGGGAATATGCGTGTTCATGTGTTCGATAACCATCTCAGCTGCATTTGCTTTTTTAAGTTTGCCCAAGACAACTGGCTTATTTAGTCTCAGTAAAATATAGGATTCCTTAGGTCTTACTTACAAGCAAATTAAGTAATTCACTCCCTGATGATCATCCATAAATCACTACAGTACGCATGCGTTATCAACAATCCTATCCACCATCAACGCGGGCTGTTTTGGCGCCAATACCATCAACTGTGCTCCATCTGCTTGACCCATCAGATGGGGTGGCAGGGTGACCGTGAACCGGTCTAATGCCATAATACCAGGGGGATTGAGGTGCTTTTAGCGCGTGCCCCATGCCCCATTAATCGGCCCTTCGCTAATAATCTACCTTCTTGTCTAACCCCTGATCTAAGAGGTCCCTGTTCCCGCTGTTTGTAGCACGTGCTATCCCCGTTTCCCCAAATCTCTCGGTCATCCCCTCCTGTGCGGACCATTCCCCCAGTTAGTCCCTGCCCCTCTCAGCCGTCCCTCCCTCCCGCGCTCCTCCGTGGCGCCGCGTGGGTCCACCAGGTGCTCTGCCGGGACGTAAACAGGGACGGTGACGGCAGGAAACCTGGGCCGTCGTCGCCTTCAAAACTAATGGGAGACGGGGAGGAGATGAGAGGATAGGTTAGGAGAGGGCGGACGAGTTGTGCTAACAAAATAATTACATGGGTTTTTGAAAATGGCTTCAAAATTAGAGGTGGCAAATTGTGGACCCGAGGACCCGGTCCAAAGAACCAGTCTGGACCCATATGGGTCCAGACCGGTTCCTGGAAATTTTTATGACGGGTCCAACCGGGTCCTACCATAAACTATACATCTTGCACACTACACATTATTACAAAATATGAAGGGAATTAAGCGAATGTTTCTTTGCACACAATAGCTCATGAGTATTCCCAGTGGGAAATAGGCTGTTTTACATGATGCAACTAATGATTCCTACAAGTAGTTTGTATTAATTGACTTTTGGGGAACGGGTCCAACTGGTTCCGGTTCCAACTAAGACCGGGTCCGACTGGTTCCAGAAATGTTCAGCCGGGTCTGGTTCGAGTCTGGTTCCCAAAATTTTCATCTTTTGCCACCTCTATTCAAAATAGATCAATGCCTAGCTTGCAGTTATGAACAATCTGGGAAGTGTAGCAGTGATGCAAAAGGGGCCGTGCAAAGTGTGTGTGAGAAAACATCAAATAATTTCAGACCCGAATGCCAAATCGTATAAATGAATCTATCGCGACTAGCATAGCCACTAGCCAGTCATGCCTTTCGTCAGAACCGCCATGCTGTTTGCTACATTTGTATGTCATGCTATACTGTATTTTGTCACGGTAATTATTTTGATTGTCATTATTGGTACGCTCAATTCAAATTTTAACCAAAATTTGTATGGGTCAGTACAGTTACACTACTTCTTCAACGGGGTAACTACTTAGGAATGAGACATCCACTTTCTGAAGCTTTTATACTCATACCATCATGTACACCACATCTATGTAGACTATTTTTCATTTTGATAAAATCACCGACAAAACGCATCATCATCCAATCCTCGGAGACGCGCTCCGTCTTCTCACCTGACTTTCCCACGCCGGGCGCTCCGAGCACGAGCACCTTGATGGGCTCCGCGGCGGCGGCCGTCTGCCGGGGCTCCGTGTTGGTGCCACTCGAGGCGCAGCTGCTGGTCGAGATGCTGCTCTGAGAGGAACACCGACTGGTGATGAGCATCGCCGGCCCGGAGGTCACCGTGCCGGTCACCATGGGTCACCGCCGGTCACCGGGTCACTGGGGTCGCGTCACCGGTCACCGACACGTGGGCTACGTCCGCAGAGTTCAGCAGTGGTGCGTGGGCGCGAGGGAGTTACTTGATTGGTCCCATGCCTGAACCTTATGTCGGCGCAAGGCTGTATTTTACGCCCGCGGTGCTAGCGACCTGTTTTCAGTTGAAGTCTCCGTTACACCCCTACCGGGCGTTGCAGTCTCTGCTATATTCCCACGTGGCGTTGCAGTCTCCGCACCGTATTCGCTCGTGTGATAAATCAAGAGCCCGTTGGTGTCGTTATCACTCCACGAAAACCTCTCTGTCCACACGCTGTCACAGTGTCACAGGCTTCGTCCTCGCCCTCACTCCGCCACCTGCTTTGCCTCGCGTGGCGCTCACCGCGGCTCTCACCCCCGGTCTGCGTGGCGCTCACCCTGGCTCTCACCCGGTCTCACCGCACGCACCCGCCGCCACCGGCCGTCCGCAGCGGACTGAGCCGACACGTTACACCGCGGACCGTGCGGCACCGCCGGAGCCACGAGCGCTGCTCCCTGCGCCGGCCTGAGGCGGCCGTGGAGCGGGTGGTGACCTGGCCATGGTGTGGTGGACATTAGCCGTTTCACGACGAACTATCTGGCGAATGCACCTAATTTGACCAAATCTGCACCAAATCTTGAAAAGAAAATATCTGCATGCCATATATTTTTTTTAAGTGAGCTTATCGATTATAATGTCTTATGATTTGACAAAGCAGGCATATAAGCAATTAATGCAACCCTAGCTGAAAGCTACTCACCTAATTTGACCAAATCTACACCAAATCTGCACCAAATGTGTAGCAGATTGTTAAATGACTCAAGAGACGCAGGAACAAGGGTCCCTCGACATGTGTGGTGCTGGTTTGGTTAGTGAAACCATAGACCACCATATAAACAATGGTAAAATATAAAGAAGTTATGTTCTGTTTTGAATGCAGGAAGCATGATTTTATTGTGGACAAGAAACGCGTCCCCTTTGCATGTTTAGACAGTCTGTAGTCTCGTTTATAGATGGGAACATATCCTGTTTCAGTGTTGTGAAGTCCAGCATTCCAGAAGACAAGAGACAATAGGGCTGCATTCCATTTAACCAGTCCCGTCGCATCTCCTTTGGTTTCTGAACACGGTTCTGGCCGACTTCTGCGCCCGGCCGAGCGTGCGCATTGTCCGCATTGTTCCCCCGTTCCTTGTAGTCAGCAGACGGGCTGCTCTAATTCCCTCTGAGCAGGACTGTCCAGCTACACCGCACGTGCTCGACCACGGCCAGCGTCAGGCTGCGGCGAGAGGAAGCTGATGAGTTGAGTGCTGTGACGGCAGCTTAGACCTCGGACTGCTAGTGACTGGCTGTCCCGCCAGTCAGCCGTAAAAATGTCGCCGTCGCCTGCGCGAATATATGTAGGGGCGTCAGTGACGCGCGGGGCCGCATCAGATCTAAAAGGTGATACGGAGACGCGTGTGGGCGAAATGGATGCGACACTGACGGACTACAGCGGCGACTGTGTGTCGGTGTGAGGTGGCCTCAATGGGAGTCTTGCCCAATCACAACGGAACGTCATTGCCTCTTCATTTCTGTTATATTTGTCTGTTCTGTTCTGTTCTTTTGTGTTCCTCTGTTCTTCTCAATCTGATGGCATTTTCCTTTGTTCATTTGCGTGTGTGTGTTTTTTTCAACGCTTGTGCCTTACTCGAGCCAGTTGCATGGTGAACTGTCTCACATTACGTTGCGTGAAAAGCGTGCTGCGTTTCAGGTTAACAGTTTCAGTAAAAACGAACATGAACTCTGCTGCGGGTCTGAATTACAGTTTGCGTGGGTCACGCCTGCTGATTTGTTGCAGGATAAAATGTAACACATCTGAGCTCGGTAACTCCATACGGGTTCTTTATGCGCCGTAACGCATGCTCACAAACGGGGCGAACCAATACAGAACACCAGAGTCTTACTACAAAGTCAAAGTGATTAGGCGCAGCACTGCAATATCGGCATATCTGATCATTTATCGACTGTGATTTCGCAGCAAGGGCGATTGTCGCTAGTGAATTAGATGTAACATCCAGCCCTGTACCAACCTATTCACCCCCTCCGCCCTGTCTGAGGGCGCTCGGCTAGACATAACATACAGCCTGTCCCTCCCACCTCCCTCCTGCACTTCCCTAGGGCGCTCGGGTGGGCCGGGCAGGCTCAGCCCAGCTGTCGACGGTCCCGAGGTCGCAGCGCTGACCGACCCCGCCCTCCCGGCCTGAATATGCATGGCTGCGCTCGTTAACCCAGTAATTTGAGTTATGCGCGGGCCGGCTCCTCATGTGGTCGGCAGTGGCCGGCGTGGTGGGAGCAGCGGGTTCTGATGGGCTGTCGTGCGTCGGCTGTTGTTAGGGAGGATGGGTGGGGAGGTGGTGATGTGGGCATCCATTGAAAGTCTGATGGTGGACGGCGACGCTGGTATGCCTAACGCGGATGCCTCACTGGAGAGTTTTCGTAAGTTCATGAGCGTGCAATATAGCATTGCATCCAACCCCAACGATATTTAGACCGAGAAGTGTTACGTGATAATGTCCGTCCACAATGTTCTTAGATGGAGCTCGATTTCAATCGATAGGTATATTCATTAACCCGCGCCCCGTTGGGCTCTGCCGAGCAACGCGCCCCGTAGGGGGGGGGGGGGCATTTTGGCCCCCCATAAGATCTCGAGAACCACGCAACCTAGCGACAAGCGGCAAACGGTGTTGGATAGCCCTATCAGGGAACTACCTTGTGACCTAATTTTATTGACCTAGGTCAAACCGATGACGTCACAGGTCAGGTCAAAGGTCTAATTTTCACCGTTTACAGGACAGGCATTTCAAGAAATGCGTTGTAAAATCGAGTAAAATGCATTTCATTGAAAATCATCGATAGGGAAATGTTCTTCAAACACATATTTTGCTAGTTGAGGTCACTGATACCAGGTCAGGTCACAGAGGTCAGGTCACTGGGGGGGGGGGGGGGGGGGGGGTCACAATATGAAAGTGTCGTGTGATACATGTTTTATGGTCTATTTTACATGACAAATGCGATTATGTGGGTCAGGCAGCCTTTGGGGCCAGCGTAGGTCACGTTTTGGTCAAGGTCAGGTCAAATTAGGTCAAATTTCAAAGTTGATATTTTTGCATAAAATGGGTATCGAATCGATGCAGCTCGTCACGGGGAGTTCAATGGTGGTCTTTGTTTTGCCGCACGAGGTCTAGAATCGCTAAAATTGAGTTAAAGATTTGACGTCATCATTTTTGAACAGTTTTTTTTTTTCGCTATAACTTGGCCAAAAAACGAGATATCGATCTGAAATTTGGTAGGTATATAGCAGAGCGCAGGGACTATCACATATATTCCGGTTTTTTTCGAAATTCGGAAAAAATTTTGGATTTTTTTTTGTTTTTCTAAAAAAATAATTTTTTTGATTTTTTTTTGGTCAAAAACCCAAAATTTTGAAAATCCGAGATAGCAGTTTTGTAGCGCCGCTTTTTGTCTACGAGACCATATACAGAACTTTGAAATTACTTGATAACTGTAGATTTGGTGAGCGTTTCAAGATTGCATGTTTTTTGCTCATTTTTGCTCGAACATGACCTCAGTTTGACCTCAATAACTCCTGACCTAAGGTGACCTAAGACTTGAAATTTGGTGTGAAGGTGTCAAATGGATACCCGAGAAGGTATTGAAAATTTGGCGGCGCTGCGCGCCGCCGTTTTCTTGCTATTCAGGAAAAACCACAGGGGGGGGCAAAATGGCCCCCCCCCAACGGAGTGAGGGGTAAAGCCCTAATCACGTGTCCGCCCGAGCTGGCGGAAAATGCCGCTGTAGTGGTACTTGCAGATGAACCGTTTCCGTTGGCCACGTTACGGGAGATTGATGTGTGACCTGCTGTAAGGAAAACAACGTCAGCAAAAATAAAACAGCTCAAACAAAACAGCTTGAGCAGGTAGTCTGTTCAAGGGGGTCATGCACTCAGGCTTATGCAACTCCGGATGTTTCACCTTGCCTAAGGCGTGGGTGTGACCTGCAGCAACATGTCGAAACCGCTGCAACTTGGGGCGGCTCTTGACGGGGATTGATCACCCACGCATGTGCAACTCGGGGTGTGGCTGCGCACGCCGATCTGAGCACAAGCAAACGCTCTCGGCCGCCGGCTCCGCTAGTGATGGTGCCTTTTGGTCATGGTAGGGAGGTGGCAGCTGGTGCGGGTTGTAGGCACTCCTTTGTTCGAGGACTTTCTCCTTATGGCGGGACGGTTTTTGCGCCCGTACGCCGCGAAGGGCTGCTCCCGATGAGCGAAGATATCAGCCCAAGTGGTCCAAATCGACGCAGAACACTTAGTTAATCGTTTGGAGTGAGTTTATTCCATCATTCAGGACATCATTACCGTCCGTTCCATTTGTCTTTGTAAGATGTTAGATAGGATGAAGGCTTTATGTGATTGCGGGGTTGCATTTTTTAGACCGTCATTAGGTGGGTGCACGTCAGAATAGCTAGTGACATTTGAGCTAGTGACTTTTGAACTAGTACAAAACAGCTAGTGCCTCAAAACAGCTAGTGACAAAACAGCTAGCGTCAAAATAGCTAGTGAAGCAAAATAGCTAGTGCTTAGAAACAGCTAGTGACAAAACAGCTAGCGTCAAAGTAGCTAGTGAAGCATAAAGAGCTAGTGCCTCAAGACAGCTAGTGACGAAATAGCTATCGTCAAAATAGTAATTTCGTTGGACCTCTGTTTCCTTCCCATTCACTTCGCTTCAAAAATGCAAGATATCTATGACTGTAAATATGTATTTCCCGCGATATGCCATCTCTTTAAGTCCCCGGTGCCCCGCTTCTAATTTGTTGTTTGTCCTAGGGATCCCGTCCTCTGCCCTCCTAGCATTCCAAATAATTTTGTCAAACTACGGTGCTCTTCTGCTCCTTCTACCCGTGGGGACTCTTCGTCGGGAAAGAATCTATAATAGCTGCTCTACGAATAAGCTATTTTGCTTATTAGCTATTAGTCGACGCTAGCGATTTCTATAGCTACATGGGGATGGGCGTAGGAACGGCTGGAACATTGTGGGTGCATGGGTGCAGAAATCCAGCCATGGCCGGTGAAGCCGGGGGGGGGGGGGGGAGGGGGTAGGGAGCGGCACCCGAGCGGAGGCTCCTTGTGAGCTTGAGGGTGTAGCATGTCGAAAAGGTACCTACCGATGAAAAGTGTATTTAGAAGCGTTGATAATGTCAATATTGACTACCGCAAAAAGTACCTAAATGCGGCTAACTTAGCCATTTTCGAAGATAGGTATCGGGCTAAAACTTTTGACAGTGGGTCATCGGTATGTGTTCAATCACATGTGTTCCGTCGCTTCCTTTTTTACTTGAGCGCAAATGTAAGTTTTGAAGACCATCACAGTAGCAAACGCTTCTAAACGTGGAAAGTGGGCAAAATATCCTGAATTT